GTCGACTCAGGATCACACGATCCTGAGTCATAGTCACAAGGTGGTTATAAGACAATACCAGGACCTGAACCTATCCTAGTCATGGTCCCTTCCCTGCTTCTGTAGTCCCACCTACAACAGTGATGAATTGACCTACCACCAATCATGACCTTGTGACGATTTTCTTTGTCCTCTATAGTATATAATAGATACCATGACCGTGATTCAGTGGATTCCTTTGGCCTCTGTATTGGGTACATGCTGACGGTTCCCTCATTCGAATAATTGTCTTTGTCTTTGTCTTGGCTTAATAAAAATGTCTTTTGATTAAATTTGAGTCTGATCTTTTTCCCCTACAACAGTACTTTGCTCAGAGTGGGTGCAGCCTGTACACCACCATCCAGTCCATGGTTCCAGAGCGAGAGTCTTTTCTTCCCAACATGGAAGTGGTGGAAATAAAAGAGGAACTTGTCTCCTGCCCAATCCCCTTTGCCAGACTCTGTGGGTTCCCTCAGGCCCTTTGAGGGCTGGGGCCACCTTTGGGCACCCTGTGATGCTGGGTCAGGGTCTCCCCACTGTGCCCCACACCCCCGCCATCAAAACAGTCTCACATGGCACAAGTGGCCTAGGGTGGAGGGTACTGCACTAAGCACACCTGGTACTACTACTGACTGACCACCTTTTATGGTCCAGGTACCTTGAATACACCATACACATGCATTACAACCCGCATAAACCCCCAAACCAAACTCATTGTGAATTCTCACTCATAGCGACCATGTAGGACAGGGCAGAACTGCCCCATAGGGTTTCCAAGGCTGTAAATCTTTACAGAGGCCCACTGCCACATCTTTCTCCTGCAGAGCAGCTGGTGGGTTCAGGTTTCCGATAGATGCTCCAGACCTTTTTTGGTAGTTATGTAATATAGAGTATATACAAAATTATTTCTTTCTAAATTTGAAAAAAAAAATTCTAAATTCCAAAACACATCTGGCCCCAAGGGTTGGAAAAAAGGATTATAGACCTGTGTTTTGCAGAGAATTGAAATATTCAAAGGTATAGTGAACGAGTGACGACAGTTTGAGAGGTCAGGGAGGACCCCTCTGGTCAGTTAATTCTGAACAACCCTTCCCCGCCAAAAAAGGAGGTCATGCAAAGATCAGGGGGAGAGCATTCCAAACAGAGGGAATAGCTAATGCAAAGATGAACAGAGAGGAGGTCATTGTGGCTGGAGCATATCAGACCAGGTGAAGAGTAGTGTGAACTGATGGGAGAACTTCAAGTAGACATGAAGATTGTGAACCAGGTGCTAAAATCCTTTGATGAATATGGTGTGTGACCATGAGTGTAGTGGCTGGCAACAACCAAGAGACCCAGAAGAAAGCCTTCCTGGGTTGGAAAGCAGGTGGGGAGATAATTCAGATAGAAGAAACCTAAAGCAGTATGGGGCTGAAAAATGTAGACCAAGATGTATGGCCTGACGACCTTGGATTGGGGGAAAGTATGGAAGGAAGACAGATTAGATGTCTGGGGGAATAGTTGGGCTCAAGATTCTAATTGGGATGCTGGTTGAAAGATGTTCTAGGATGACCAGACACCTGGGTCTTAAATGACAATCTCTGATTGAGATCCAGTCTGCAATGTGTGACCTGGGCTTCTGGGCTTAAAATATGTTAGATACAGACAGAACAGAGTAGCAAAGGCCTAGCTGATGAAACATGTTCTTGCTTCTCTGTTTATCCCTCTGTGGGTTTGTGCTTCTCAGTAGCTCTGTCTCAGAATGTCTGTCTCCTAGCGTCTTTGTCTCTTAGTGGCTCTCCACTCTCTGTGATCCTGTCTCGGCATCTCTGTTCCTCTCTCTGTCTCAACATATTTCTTTCTAGGTGCCTTTCTGTATCTCAGAGATTCTCCATCTTTGGATCTCCATGTCTGTGTCCCAGAATCTGGTTCTCTGTTCCTTCCGTTGTCTGCATCTGTGCTATAATTGTCTCTTTTTCCTTCTGGACTGTGCCTTCCTGGAAGGCACAAAGCTTTTAATATTCCTCTGGGTAGCCTTGGAGCCCTGGTGGCGCGGTGCTTAAGAGCTCGGCCGCTAACCAAAAGGTTGGCAGTTCATCCACCAGCCGCTCCTTGGAAACCCGATGGGTCAGTTCTACTCTGCCCTATAGGGTTGCTCTGAGTCAGAACCCACCCGACTGCACCTAACAACAACAACTAGTGCCCCACCCGAAGTCTAGCGTATAGGAGTCTCTCAAATATGTCTGTGCGTGAACGACAGCCTTTTCTGAGGAGAAAGGGACTTGCTCACACATCCCTCCCCCGCGGAGCCGGCAGCCTGCCAAAAGGCGGTGGGTGTGGTGGTATTGTGGTACTGCTATTGGGTTCTTTCACCGAGGGAAATAACTCTCAGGACACCTTACCAGGGCCTTGCGCTCTCGCTAGAGGACAGGAACAGTAAACGCTGGCCCGCATCTTCCGCGCGGCGGGCAGCCCACCTTCTCGGCCCCGCCCCGCGACTCCACCTTGGCCAATCAGCGAGCGCCCACGCAGACCCGCCTGTGAAGAGGCTCTGCGCAAGATGGCTGCGGCGTGTCGGAGTGTGAAGGTAGAACTGTCTTTGCCCAGCTGGGACGGCGCGGCCGTGGAACGAGGGGGGGAGAGATCGGTGCTGGGAGAAAGGGTCATGCTTGTCTAGACCTGGTTTTGGCGGCGGTTGGGCTCGGGAGGTGAAAGTCAACACTCCGAAGTGCACGTGGTGGGGGTAACAGGGTGGGATGTCTGGGGATGAGTCACCCAGAGGTCCCATCTGATGAGGGGAGGAGGCACACTTGGGTCACACCGCAGGGGTGACCAGAAGCCACCCCGCTCCCACTCCCGCTGTCGCAGAAGCCTGGAGAAAGGACAGATGAAAGGGTAGGGGTGGTCCGGCCAATAGCACCTGACCGTGTCCGTCTTAACAGGGCCTGGTTGCCGTGATAACCGGAGGAGCCTCGGGTCTAGGCCTAGCCACGGCGGAGCGACTGGTGGGGCAGGGGGCCTCTGCAGTGCTTTTGGACCTGCCCAGCTCGGATGGGGAGGCCCAGGCCAAGAAGTTAGGGAAGAACTGCGCCTTCGCCCCTGTCGACGTAAGTGGGGCCACCTCTCCTCTCCCAGGGTGTGCACGAGGTCACGAACACCGGCTTGGGAACCCATGGGCTCCCTCCCATAAGAGTGCTATTTATGTGGACATTGAGCCCATGTCCTTGTCCCTTTTGGCCTGAGCCTTCAAGCACTGTGGGACAGATAGGAATCTTTTCAAGCACTGTGGGAGATAGAAATCTCTAAAGCCAGGATTCACAAGAATGGGGATGGGGATTGAACATATCAGAGTCTCCTGGAGTGGGTATGTGTAGTTTGAAAATGCATATTGTGTCCTGTAATTTTATATTTAGAAAGTGGGAGAACTTGTTTTTATGAAACTACAGAAAGCTTGATGAAATCATCTTAGCAGGTAGGGACACAGAGAAGTTAGTTTATTTTCATATCAGTAATTCTCAAAACAGGGATGTATTAGTGCTCTGATCCACAGTAATTGAGAATCTCCAGGGGTATGTGAATTTACCAAAAGTGTGGATTTGAAAAATCTTTTGAACACTGCCCTAGAGGATCTAACATTTTCACCTTAGCCCCACTCTCCTCTCTCAAGTTCCCCTATAACTTTCTCTTCGCTTCTCCCTTGCTTATACAATTCTGGGCCTGCCTCCCACCCATACCCCCACCCTAGGTTTAGTGATGGGCTGGGAAAAGCAATACCATCTCCCCTTCTCCCTTTGAAGGTGACCTCAGAGAAGGATGTGCAAGCAGCCCTGACTCTAACAAAAGAAAAGTTTGGCCGTGTGGATGTTGCAGTCAACTGTGCAGGCATTGCAGTGGCCATCAAGACATACAACTTAAAGAGGAGCCAGGCTCATACCTTGGAGGACTTCCAGCGAGTTCTCAATGTAAGGCCTTGAGGTTCTCCTTGGGTAGAAGAGGCATCTGGCTGTGAGTGCCCCCAAAGCTTTCAGGGGACAGAAGGCTGCCTCTGCCTCAGGTCCTACACCATGTCTCTACCCATCCTCCAGGTGAATCTCATAGGTACCTTCAATGTGATCCGCCTGGTGGCTGGAGAGATGGGCCAGAATGAACGAGACCAGGGTGGCCAACGTGGAGTCATCATCAACACCGCCAGTGTGGCTGCCTTTGAGGGCCAGGTATGTAGGCAGGGGCAAGGCTTATGCCTCCTCGGTGACTTGTTGGGCCCTCTCACCTATCACCTCCACTCCTTCTCTAGGTTGGACAAGCTGCATACTCTGCTTCCAAGGGGGGCATAGTGGGTATGACACTGCCCATTGCTCGGGATCTGGCTCCCATAGGAATTCGGGTGATGACCATTGCTCCAGGTAGACATATCCCCCTCCCTGCCACACCTAAGATTGTGGGGGAATCTATGGGCAATTGAGAGGGGAAGGTACCACCTAAGTAGCAGCAGCCCCCCATCTCTGGGCCCGAGGGACACACCAAGAAATAGGGCTAAAGCGAGGAAGGACTAGGTGAATGTGAAAGCAAGTGCGGGTCTCTGACTCTGGCTGTCTTGTCTAGGCCTGTTTGGCACTCCACTACTGACCAGCCTCCCAGACAAGGTGCGTAACTTCTTGGCCAGCCAGGTGCCCTTCCCCAGCCGACTGGGTGACCCTGCTGAGTATGCTCATCTGGTACAGGCCATAATCGAGAACCCATTCCTTAATGGAGAGGTCATCCGGCTGGATGGTGCCATCCGCATGCAGCCCTGAAAGGAAAGGGCAGAGAGAATGCATCCCCTCTGCCCCCCATTCCTTTGGGGGTACTAGACTCCAGCCTGAGAGGAATCCCAGTAGCCATTTTGTAACTGCCCACCAGTCACCTTTTGTGCCTAATAAAGTCTGTATTTCTCACAGATAGTGGGCAGCGCTATGTGCTTGGGGGTACTGGCATGGGAAAAAAAGGTAAATGGGTGAAGGAGCCCTGGGGTTGGATGGGAGAAGCAGTACCTCACACCTTTGTGTCTTATCACAACACATGTCCTTGATTTCAGTGAATAACTTTATTACCTAGGTAGAAGGTGGGGATACTGGCTCAGTGCCCTCCCACTGGGGAATGGATTAGGGGTGGGGGTATGCACTATTTTCCTCTTTGACCCATAGCCCTCTGTGAGCTTGGAGAAGGGGGAGAAGACCATCCTGAGCTCAGCGGCTGCTGGTATTGAACTGTAGGTGATATTGGGTTGTAGGCTGATTGGTATAAATTATTGAGTTCAGATAATTCTGCCTGTGAAAGAAGCCCAGAGTCCTCAGTTGATGTGCTTACTCTCTCCCCCTGGCCCTCAGCGTCCCTCCCCACCCTCCCTTGCATTCATCCCCACTACCACCCCCTAGAACTCACTGGGCTTTTTGCTCCTTAGCCAGCTGCTGGTTGAAGGAGCCCAGCCCCCTCCGAAATTCAGCACACAGTTCTCTCTCCTGCTGCTCCAGCTCCATTGCTGCCTGGGCGGAGAGCATGGTCTGGCTTTCCCACTGAGCATCCAGTGCTTGTTCGGCCTGGCACTGTGCCTCCTTTTCATAGCACTGCATCTGTTGGACTTTCCTGATAGCAGCTCGCTGCTCTGGAGTCATGCCCTTCCAGCAATAGGGCAGGACCCGGTGGGGAGCCAGAGGGTTTTGGGCGACTTGGGGGTTCTCAGTCAGCAGGTCACTTGTGATCTGGTTCTGGATGTCCACAAGGTTGGCCTCCTGTTCGCGTTGATGCTCACGGCGCTGCCACTCAGCCAGCTCAGCTACCTGGTGGGGCCCCCTGAACGTGAACATTTGAGTGCCCAACCTCACAGAACTCTCAGTTGTTGGGGCAGGGGAGTTATATGGCCATATCCTCCATCTCAGGGAGAGGAGGAGACACTGCATAGCCTCTTAATGACCCTTGAGGTGGGGAGAAGGGTGAATAGGCAGGGAACTTCCCTGCCCTCAGGAAGCCCTTAGACTGGGAAGGTAGTGAGTGCTCTATTCTCAAGTCATCCTAAGTCTGGAGGTGGGGAGAGGCATCTTTTGCCCTAAGAGAGCCCTTAGGTGAAGGGAGGAGTCCTTAGGCAGAGGGGGGAATGATGTGGCTAAGGTTCCCCAGGACTTTGTTCAGGGGGTGGAGGGAGCACAGTACACTGGATGGCTCAGGCCATACCTGGGCTTTGTTGACGTTGGCTACAGCAGACATCATGGCCATTCGACAGGACTCCTCCAACTTGGCCAGGTAGGTGGCCCGCATGTCCATGCCTAGGTGCAGCTGGTCATTAAGCATATCTACATAGAAATATGGCCTGGGCACTGTACTGGCCTGCTCCATTTCTGGTTCACTCATTCAGCTGTTTGTTCAACAAGCTTTGTGTATATGTATATTTGGGAGGGGGTAGTATCTGAGTTGTAGGGATGTGGAAGGAGCTACTCTTTGGGGCTAGGGATAGCCAAAATGGCAGCAACAAGGATTTTTCAAGTGACTAGTTGAAAGATGTCCCCAAGAGACTTGGGTCCCAGTGCGAGCTCTGCAGCTTCTCAGGTATGTGACCTTGGGTAAATCATTTCATCTCTCTGACCCTGTCTCCACATGTGTTGGGCTCTAAGGACACCACTGAATCAGATCCTGTCCTCAGAGAGCTCCTCATCTAGTGAAGGAGATAGATTAAACAGATAATCATACCACAGTGTGGTAAGAGCAATGACAGAGATATGTACAGGGCATTTTGGGAGCTTTGGGTGGTGGGTGAGAGGAAGGTTTCCAGGAGGAGGTGATACTTGGAATATGTTTTATATGCAGGCAAAAAGCAAAGGGCATTCCAAGCTGAGGGCACAGCATGAGCAAAGGCACTGAAATTTTTCCATTCCAGCCACACTGGTCTCCTTGCTGTCCCTAGAACATGCCTCAGGGATTTGTAATAGATGTTACTCTTGGCTCCTACTCTCTTGCCTCCTTCAGGTCTTTGCTCAACTGTTACTATCTCAGTGAGGCCCCTCCTGGCTGCCCAACCTAAAATTGCAACCTGCCTAACCCCCAACATTTATCCCTCTTCCCTAATTTTTCTCCCTAGCATTTATCACCATCTAATATACTCTTTTTATTTAATTATTTTGTTTATTGTCTGTCTCCTCACTAGAAGGTAATCTTTGTAAGGGCAGAGAATTTTGTCTGTTATTCATTGCCATGCCCCAGCACTTAGATCATAGCTTGGCACATAGTAGGTACTCAATAAATACTTGTCAAATAAAGGAAATCAAGAAACAGCATAGTATATATCTTAAACTACAAATAGTCACTGTTGCTGGAGCATAAAATGCGAGTGATTAGAGAGCTTTGCAGTGCCCAGACTAAGGGCCAGAAACTTGACCCTGAAGGTGGTGGGGAACATGGAAGGATTGGTGACATGGTTAGATTTGCATTTTAGAAAGCTCTTCCTGGTGGCCAGTATGGAGGACAGTCAGGGTAGGGAGAGACAATGGAAGCAGGGAATCCACCCTGAAGGCTATTATAGTAGGCCACTTGGGGGGCTCACCTAGGCCAGTGATAGAAAGGATGGAGGGGAAGTATATAGGAGGTTTACATCAGCAGTACCAGATGGATTGGATGAGGGAGTAAAGAGAGGGAAGACACAGGAGTGCTTCCCAGGTTTCTGGCTTGAATGACTGGTTGGATGATGTGGCCACCACCACAGTAGAGAATGCAGAATGAAGAGCAGGTTTGGGGGCACTGATGAATTCTGTTTAGGACATGCTGAGTTGGAGGTGGCCAGCATTTGATTCTGCAGGTAGAGAATCCTCAGCACAGAGGTTGTAGGTAACATGGTAGTGGAAACCAGGATGAGGATTGAGGGCACCGGAGGTGAGTATGCAGGGTAGAGAGAACAGGGTACCAGGGACAAAGTCTCAAGAAGGAAGGAGTAGAAGGAAGAGGAGCACACAAAGGGCAGACAGAGAAGGAGTGGTCAGAGAGCTATGGGCAGAATGTGGTGTCATGGAAGAGAGTATCAGGAAGGAAGATGTGATCAGAGTCAAAGGCAGAAAGGAAGGTCTGACCAAAGAAAAAAGACTAAAAGGAGCCTCGTACCTAATGACACAAAGGAGTATTGGTAATTGAGTAGTTTAGTGAAGTTGTGTGGGTAGAAAATTAGACCTCAGGGGGTTGAGGTGTGGCTGGAAAGTTAGGAAGAAAAGACAGTAAGTGGAAGCAGACTTTTGAAAAATTATGGCTATAAAGGAAAACAGAGAGAGCTCAGTATCCAGAGGAATCACAGGGTTGAGAGAAGCTTTTTTTTTAATAGGTTAGATTTAAGCATGTTTACAGCCTGCACAGAATGGGTCAGTAGAAGGGGAAATGTTGAAAACAACGAAGAGGGGATACCTGAGGGAGCACAGCCCAGGGGGAAGCAGGGAAGAATGGGGTCAAGAGCAAAGGCTGAAGACTTGGCTTTGAAGAGGCACAGGGACACTGACGTTTTTAGAGACTGAAGGGCAGGAGAGGAAGAGAGGATGGGGTGTATTGTTTCATTTTAATTTTCACAGCAACCCAGAGAGGAAAAGATCAGAGGCCCAAAGACGTTAAGTAAAAAGCCCAAGGTTATACAACCTGGAAGCAGTAGGTCTTAGTCCATGGCCCTTCTGTTACACTCCATATTCTCCCTCTGCCTTCTGCTGTCCCTGTTGCATCAGTCTGCCTTATCATACATCTGCCTGCTGCCAACTGGCAGCTGGCCCCACAGTGCCACTGAAACTGCTCTGACAAAAATCACCAAATATTCCTAATTTCCGAATCCAATAGACAGTTTCTGTTCCTATCTGATTGGAATTCTCCAGGGCATTTGATATTGACTACTCCCTCTTTGAAACTCCTCCCTTGGTTTCTAAGTCTCCACTTGGTGACTGAGAGAAGGCAAGTATGGCATAGACCAGAGGTTCTAGGACCAGCCTGTCTGAGTTCATTTCCTGCCTCTATCACCCACTGGCTATATGACTTTGGACAAGTTATGTAACATCTCTGTTCTTTAGTTTCCTCATCTGAAAATGAAGATAATACTAGTACTTGCCTCATGAAGTTGCTGTAAGAATTAAATGGGTTAATACAAGGTAAAATGCTTAGCACAGTGTCTGGTACATAGGAAGTACTCAATAAAGGTTAGCTGCTGCTGCTATTATCATCATTTTATGTATCTCTTCTTACTATGTCCCTGAATCCCTCCCAGTCTTTATTATGGGCGTCTCTTCCTCTACTCATTCATTTACTCAAGATACTGAGCATCCACTATGTGCCAGACACTGTTTAAATCACTGGGGTTATAATGGTTAATAAGACAGTCCTGATCCTTGTCCTCAGAGAGTACATCATTGGCTCACTCTTTCTCCAGGTTCCACACTTAGCATTCTGTTCATTACCCCTCCATGCTGATGGCTCCCAGATCTCTTCTCCAGCCCAGACTGCCCTTGAACTTAAGGGTCATATAGAGACATGTTGGCTGCAATAGTCTTCTACCTGGTCTCCCTGCCTCTGGTTTTTCCTCTGTAATCCAGGCTCCACATTGGCTGACAGAATTAGCTGCTAAAACACAAATCATGTGACTTCAATGCTCAAAACCCTCCTGTGACCCCTACCTCCCTCAGTAAAAGCTGAAGTCCTCACCATGTCTACAAGGCCTACTCAGTCTGGCCCCTATATTCTCTGACCTCACTTCCTACCACTCTTCCCCCTTGCTTACTCTGCTTCAGCCATTCTGGCCCCACTGCTATTTCTCAGACATTCCAGACATGCTCTTTCCTGCCTCATGGCCTGAACACTAGCTATTTCCTCTGCCTGGACAGCTCTTTCCTCAGATATTTGAATGGTTCACTCCCTTATCTTCAGATCTGTATTCAAATGTTACCTTGGTAAGGCTTTATTTAAAATTGCAACTGTGCCCCTCCCTCCAAAAGTCCCTGTGTCCCCTTTTGTGCTTTGTTTTTCTCCCTAGCAATTATCTCCACCTTGCGTATTATATATTTCATTATTTTATCTTGTTTATTGTCTGTCTACCTGCATTAGAATGTGAATTCCATGAAAGCGAGGATTTTTCTGTTTTGTTCACTGTGCCAGGCACAAAGTAGGTAGCTTAATGTCTACTGGATATTAAAATGGTCTTGTTACTCTGCTGCTTAAAACCCTTAAGTGGTTTCCCACTGCCTGCATGATAAAGTCAAAATTCTGTAGTTTGGTGTAGAAGGTTTTTGCCCATTTTCTCTTCCTCTGACCTTCTACACCAAACTGTTACACACCCTTAATACACAGACCATTTACAGCCCTGGCACTCTTGTTCCTGCTGCTTCCTCTGCTTAGAATGGCCTTTTTCTGTTTCCTGACCTCACCCCAGCAAAATTTTTATACAACTTTCCAAATTCAGTTCCTGACAGTCGGCCCGCGCCACTCTGCCTCCCTCTCCTTATGAGAATTGACCATTCATATTGATGTTCCTTCCATGTCCTATATATACTATCATAGTATCTGTCACAGTACCTAACACAGGGTTAAAGCATAAATATTTGCTGATGAATTACTTGTGTACATATCTTTTCCTTTTAATCCTTTTAATTACATTGTTATGTGACCCTGTCTTGTTTATTTTGTTCAACTGTTACTTCAACAATGACTTATTGAGCTCCTGGCACTGTGGCAGACATTGTACTAGGCAACTGGGATACAGGGGTGGTAATGATAGGTATGATTTATCTTCAGTGAGTTGACATTTTGGGAGAAGACAGACGTTAAACAAATACATTCGTAATTAGTTACAACCATGATAAGTGGTATAATAGGGGTTTGAATTGCTGACCTTTTGGTTAGCAGCCATAGCACGTAACCACTGGGCCACTAGGGCTCCAATATAGTAGCTACTAATTATTGAGCACTGATGCTTGTACTTTACATACAGTATCTCATTTCATTCTCATAAGAACTCTATGTGGTATGGATTATCCCTGTTTTAAAGATGAGGAAACTAAAGTACAGAGAAGAAAATAAATTTTCCCAAACCAGCTAGTAAGCGGCCGAGCCATTAGGTCTGTCTGCACTGCACTGCCTCCAAGTAATGGCTAATCGAGGAGCAATGGCTACACTGTCAGACGGAAGGAAGTCAAGGAGGTTGAGGTCTGCATAATCTAAACTTTCAACATCAGCCCCATGGGGAATTGGACCTCCCCACACGGTTCTGGTCTCCTGGTACTGTACCTGGCTCAGGACAACTTCCCGCCAGCCCCCGGGTCTCCGAGTCTAGAGAGCCTTGCTGCTTACCTGCACACTTCTCATCAACTCTGGCTCGCTGTTGCTCCTGCAGCTGCCTCTCCAGGCTGTACCTGAACTGGTCCTGCTGCATTTTCAGGCATGTAGCCCTGTCCAGATCCTCCCCAGAGAAGCACTGGAGGCTGGCTGGGCCACAGTGAGGATCACTGTCACCAAGGCAGGCTGGAAACTCCTTCCGAAGTCCGTCTGGATCCCGAAGGTCAAATTCACGTCTGTTCTTGAGCTGCTGCTTCTGCTCCCGAAACTCCTGGATTTTCTTGGCCAACCGACGTGTCCTTTCTGCTTGTTCCTTCTCTAGCATTTGTGCTACTAAATCATACTGCACGTGGTTGGTACCTGGAGGTGGTGGGCAGGGACATGGAGAAGGTACCACGGGAGAGACAGAGCCCACCCAGTATGGCCTCTGCTCGTAAGTCCCATCTGATTTACTCTACCACCCCTGGCCATCAGGCCCCACTCAGAGCCAGAGCTGCCCTACTTCAGCCCACTCAGGCCCTTACTTTACCTACCCGCTGCCCCACCCGGCCCCTGGCCTTGGGCTTTTACCATAAGCTGCATCCCTGCTCTGCTCCGTTACCTCCCGAAGTTTTCGCTCTACAACCTGGCTGTTTAGTGCTTCGACATCCACCTGATTCCAAAGAAAACGAGCTAATTAAGGGTAGGGGCCCATCAGGGGCCTTGCATGCACTAACAACAAACTGCTTATAATTTACCTATTCCAAAATCCTATAGATCCCCTGTACCTACTGGATAAAATTCCAATACCTTAGCGTGGCTTCTGAGTCCTCCAATGATCTAGCCTGTGCCTTCTTCTCTATCCTCATCTCTTCCCTTGTCCCACTCTTAACACTAGCCTTAGGAGCTCTGCTTACAGCTTTCTGCACATCTTAGGCTGTTTCCAACTTACATGTCTTTTACAAGCTGCTCCCTCCACTTGGAACACTCTTTCCTCCCTTCTTTACCTGAACTGCTATTCATCCTTTAGGACCAGCTCAGATTTCACCTTCCTGATCCCTCTGGCTGGTCCTACTCTCATGGATTGTAGGACCCACTGTCCACATTATATTGAAGTCTGTCTATATCTTTTATTTCCTTCACTAGATTGTGAGCCCTTTTAAAAGGCAGACTGGGTCTTATCGCCACTACCCAACACAGTGCTTGGCACAGAGAAGGCTCTGAGGAAACATTTGCCAAATAGATCTCAATCAGACCACTCATCCCTAAGCCAACTACTTACTCGTGTCAGGTGCAATGCTCTGGTTTTCAGAGCTGCTACCATATGTTACTCATTACCTCAGAACTTCCTTTATTTAGCCTCATTTTACAGAGAAGGAGCCTGGAGCTCCGAGAAGACACACATCTAGTAAACAGCAGACCTCACCCTTGAACACAGGTCTGGTGTCTTTTCCAGAATACCATGCTGCATCCCCTCTATTCACTCATCTGACAGTCTTTTTTTTTCTTCTTCTTAAACTATCAATAATTTCTCTTTATTTTGATTAAAATTAATTTAAAATGTTCCAAAATAGTACAAAAAGGAATACAGTTTAGTGAAGAGTAAGTGTCCCCCACTCAGGTTACCCATTTCTTATATAGCCCTCCAGAGATAGTTTAGGCATATACAATACCAAATATTTCTTTAGACCTCTTTTGGCTCCATGCTGCCTGTATTTTGAGAACCAGACTACATGGTCCCGAGGTGACCCGAAAAAAGTTAGTTGTCACTGGCTCCTCTTCCCCTGCATCCTCCACACTCCCTTCCCAGACCTTTCCCAGCATGTAGGGTGGGTGGCTTCTACTCCTCTCCTTCGTTTCCAACTCTAGGGCCTACTCAAATCAAGGAAAGGGCTATAATGGGCCCTGCAATATTCCTCTCCAGGCCCATGGTCCTGAGAAACAGTCCCTGCTGCCCACTCACCCCCATGACTCGGTTCCGCACATTGAAGAATCGGCTCTGTCGCTCCTTTTCTCGATTTTTTCTAGCCTCAATGGCTGCCAACTCCTTGGGATCTGCTGACAGGTCTACCTTATACATCCTGGAGCAAGGGTGAAGCAGAATGGCTAATCAGTGTTGACCATCATCCTTGACTATGCCTCCCTCCTTTCTTCCCACAATATTCCACCAAGTATTTACTCCTACTGATTTTAATTCCTAATATATTGCATTATCTGTGTCCCCCATCTCTGCTATCACCTCCCTAATTCAGGCTTCACAGTCTGGTGCCACACAATATCCCCAGAAGCCTCACTGGCCTCCCTTACTCCAGTGTTATACTCTCTAGTTCTTTCTCTGCACTGGCTACCACAGTGATCTTTCTGAAAGCAAACCTGACCATGACACTCCTCAGCTTAAAATCGTTAAAAGCAACTTAAAAAACAGTTTGAATCCATCCAGTGGTGCCTCAGAAGAAAGGCCTGGCGATCTACTTCCATAAGATTACAACCATTTAAAACCCTATAGTGCGCAGTCTACTCTGAAACACATGGGGTTGCCATGAGTTGGAACTGACAGCAATGGGTTTGGTTTTGTTTTTACTCACTGCCTACAAGATAAGGTCCAAACTCCTCTGCCAGATTTATAAGGTTCATCATCTCTGCTCACCTTTTAGCCTCAAACTCATTTGTAACACTCCTCCCTTTCTCATTATGCTCTACTCAGTTTTCCCCATCTCAGTAAATGGCACCACCATTTACCAAGTTGCTCAGGTCAAAAATCCAGGAAGCATCCTTTAACCCTTTCCCTCACTCCTTCTTCTTTCAAAATATATTCCCAATTTGTTTGTCATGGCTCCCACCCTGGTACAAGCCACCATCATTGCCTTCCTGGATGACTACACATTGGTCTTCCAGCTTCCTCTGTCATCTCCTATAGCCCACTTATTACACAGAAACCCAGAATAAACCTTCTTTTCTGAAATAAATTTCTCCCTTTATTTTTATTACTTATTCTTTCATCAGATGAAAGGCTATAGGGCTTAAATTTGTCTTTCCTCATTTTGGGAAGCCCACTTTTGGCATATGGGTGAGCTGAAGCCATAGCCAAAAACATTTTTTCAAATGTGATCATGTCTCTTACCTGCTAAAGATCCTCCAATGGCTTCCCACTGCACTTAGAATCATATCCAAACTCCTTACCATGGGCTTTCAAGATCCAGTTCCTGCACACCTTCCCAACTCAACTCTTACCATTGTCTCCCTTGCTTACAGTGCTCCAGGCACACTGGCCTCAAGTCCTCCAACACAACTGTTCCCACCTTAAGGCCTTTATACATGGTGTTCCTTTGTTTGGAACACTATTCCTCAACTCCTATAGCTAGTTTCCATTTGTTTTTCACCATTTTTTAACTGAAATATTCGATACAGACAAGAAAATATATAAAACCCTTATGTAAGTTAGGAAGCATGATAAAGACCCAAGGACCAACTCCCCAACTTAAAAAATAGAACATTATCAATACCACTGGAGTACCCCATCTTTTCTCCCTCATCCTTACCCCAACACGTGATCACTATGCAAAAATTTTTTATATTTATAAATGTATCGTGTGTGTATGAGTCCCTGAACAATATTTTTTAAGTTTTCTTGTTTTCAAACTTTACAAAATATCATGCTGTATGTATTTTCTGCATCTTTTTTTTCACTCAACATTCATCCATTGTTTAATAAATATTTGTGGAGTGCCTACTAAGTATTTGGGAGACATCAAGGAACAAAACAAAAATCTCAGCCCTCATAGTGGTTACTTTCTAGTGGGGGCAGACAGATAATAAAGAGTAAAACATAATATGTACATTAAATAGTTTGTAAGAAGATGATGGTGGCACAAAAAGTTCAGCACTCAACTACTAGCTGAAAGGTTGGCGGTTTGAGTCCACTAAAAGGTGCCTTGGAAGACAGCCCTGGTGATCTGCTTCCAAAAGGTCACAGCCTTGAAAACCCTACGAAGCAGTTCTACTCTGCACACCTATGGTTGCCATGAGTCAGAATCAATGGCAACTAACAACGGAAAAAATATAGAGCAAGATAAGGGAAATTGGAAGTGCCAGGGAAATGGGGGAATATTATAAATTTAAATATGGAAGTCAAGGATACATAATTGAGAAGGTAATATTTGAGCAAATACTTGAAGAAGGTGAGAGGATTATCCATGCAGGTATCTGGGGGTAGAGCATTCCAGGCAGAGGGAACAGCAAGTGAAAAGGTTTTAAAGGTGGAAGTATGGGAAGCACATGTTCAAGGGAACAGCAAGGAGGCAAGTCTGGCTGGAGTGAAGGAGAGGTATGTAAGAAATGATATTAGAGAGATAATGGGGGGGGTGCAGATCATGTAGGGCTTTATAAGCTTGTGTAGACTTTGGCTTTTACTCTGAAAGAAATGGGCAGCCATTGGTGGATTTTGAGCAGTGGAGTGATGTGTTCTTTGATTTTTAAAGGATTACTCTGGCTGCTGTGTTTAGATTGGGGGGAAAGGGAGCAAGGCTAGAAGCAGAGACATCAGTCAAGAGGCTATTGCAGTTGCCCAGACAAGAGATGATGGTGACTCAGACCAGGTTAGTAGCAGCAGAGGAGGTGGTGAGAAGTGGTCAGATTCTGGATATATTTTGAAGGCAGAGCTGACAGAATTTCCTGATGGACTGGATGTGCAGATTGTGAGTGTGAGAGAATGACTTCAAGGATTTGGGCCTGAGCAATCAGAGGGATGGAGTTGCTATTAACTGAACAGTTTGTGTGGGTTAAGCAAGTATGCGGTAGGGAAAGGACCAGATCAGTTTGGGGTATGTTGAGTCTGAGAGGTCTGTTAGACATCCAAATGGACATGTCTAGAGTTAGGAGAGGTATGAGCTGAGAACATAAATCTTGGAATTGATTGCATACAGATGGTAAATTTTATTACTGTTCAAAAATATTTGCTGCTCCTCTCTTCAGAAGGATTATGCATCCCACCTCATTGACATCAAGGTTAGCCACATGATTTGCTTTGCCCTGGCAGTGTGAAGAGAATTTCCATATGCCATGCCCAAGCAGAACTAAAAGCCATTACAAGATGGCCACTTTTTCTTTTCACTCTCTGCTACGAGACTATGAGTATCCCAGGTAAGGGCTGCTCTTTCAGCCCACAACTGAAAGAATGAGTGAGAAAGTAACCTTTGTTTTTGTAAACTACTAAGATTTTGGGGTTGTCTTTAACCTCAGCATAATTTAACCTATCCTGACTGATAGCAAGGAATTTAAGGCTATGAGAATTTATGAGATCTGTAAGGATGTGTAGATAGATAAAAATACCCCAAGACATTGGGAAGCTAGGGCAGAGGAGACAAGGAGAGGAGGAGCTAGCACAGGAAGCTAAGGAGGAGTAGCCAGTGAGGTGAAAGAAAAACCTGGAGATTGAGGTGTCTGAGAAGCCAAGTGAAAAAAAGTGCTTCTAGGAGGAGAGAGTGATCAACTGATGATGGATTGAGATGAGGTCTGAGAACTTGACTGATTTAGTAGCATGAGAGTTATTGACCTTGACAAGAGCAATTTTGGTGGAGTGTGGGGACAAGAGCCTGATTGAAGTAGGTTCAAGAAACAACCCAGTTTATTAAAAATATAAGAGAAAAAGAGGGAGGAGGAACCTGTAGATTAAAAAGGACTTCTATATACAGGTGGGAGAGTCTCTAACATATACCTAGGAATGAAAGTGCTGGATGTTAGGGTATATGCATATTTAACTTTACAAAATAATGCTAAATTGTACTGATACAATTATATTGTACTGATATCAGTTTACAATTTCACAACAGTGTATAAAAGTTCTGGTCACTCCACATCCTAACCAACACTCGGTTATCAAAGACTTCTTAATTTTTGCCAATTGTGGGTATAAAACTGTAATTATTAACTGGAATCTTCCCTATTGCTAATGAGGTTGTATGTCTTTTCATGTGTTTTTTGGGCATTTTTGTTTACTCTTCTATGAAGTACTCATTTATATCTTTTGTTCATTGTTTTAAAAAAAAATCAGGTTGTCCCTTTCCTATTAATTTTAGGAGTTCCTTACATATTCTACATGCTAATCATTTCTTGCTCATATGCTACCTCCTGAAATAGCTGAATGTGGACCAATTCATTTTGATATAGTGACTCTGTGTATTCCTTCCATCTTCTTTTGATGCTTCCTGTGTTGTCCAATATTTTGCCCATAGAATCCTTCAGAATTGCAACTTGAGGCTTGAATTTTTTCTTCAGTTCTTTTAGCTTGAGAAATGCCAACTGTGTTCTTGTTTGGTTTTCTAACTCCAGGTCTTTGCACATTTCATTATAATACTTTACTTTGTCTTTTCCAGCCACCCTTTGAAGTCTGTTCAGCTCTTTTACTTCATAATTTCTTCCATTTGCTTTAGTTGCTGTACATTCAAGATCAAGTTTCAGAGTCTCTTCTGATATCCGTTTTGGCCTTTTCTTTCTTTCCTGTCTTTTTAATAACATTTTGCTTTATATATGATGTCCTTGATGTCATCCCACAACTCGTCTGGTCTTCGGTCATTAGTGTTCAAAGAGTCAAATCTATTTTTGAGATAGTCTCCAAATTCAGGTGGGGTATACTCAAGGTTATATTTTGGCTCTTGCAGCCCTGTTTTAATTTTCTTTAGCTTTAACTTGAACTTGCTTATGAGCAATTGATCGTCTGTTCTGCAGTCTGCCCCTGGCCGTGTTCTGACTGATGATATTGAGCTTTTCCATGTCTCTTTCCACAGATGTAGTCGATCTGATTCCTGTGTTTTCCATCTGGTGAGGTCCACGTGTATAGTTGCCGTTTATGTTGTTGAAAAAAGGTACTTGCAATGAATAGGTCATTGATCTTGCAAAAGTCTGTCACGTGATCTACAGCATCGTTTCTATTACCAAGGCCATATTTTCCAACTACTGATCCTTCTTTGTTTCTAACTTTCACATTCCAATCACCAGTAATTAGCATATGATCAAGAACCAATGGTATTGAAAGAAGAAGTTCAAGGTGCACTGAAGGCATTGGCGGAAAAACAAGGCTCCAGGAATTGATGGAATACCAACTGAGATGTTTCAACAAATGGATGCAGCGCTGGAGGTGCTTACTTGTCTATGCCAAGAAATTTGGAAGACAGCTACCTGGCCAACTGACTGGAAGAGATCCATATTTGTGCCCATTCCAAAGAAAGGTGATCCAACAGAATGCGGAAATTATCAAACAGTATCATTAATATCACACACAAGTAAAATTTTGCTGAAGATAATTAAAAAACGGTTGCAGCAGTACATTGGCAGGGAACTGCCAGAAACTCAAGTTGGATTCAGAAGAGGATGTGGAACAAAGGATATCATTGCTGATGTCAGACGAATCTTGGTTGACAGAAAAGAATACCTGAAAGATGTTTACCTGTGTTTTATTGACTATGCAAAGGCATTTGACTGTGTGGATCATAACAAATTATGGATAACGTTGCGAAGAATGGGAATTCCAGAACACTTAATTGTGGTCATGTGGAACCTGTACATAGACCAAGAGGCAGTCGTTCAAACAGAACAAGGGGATACTGTGTGGTTTAAAATCAGGAGAGGTGAGCATCAGAGTTGTATCCTTTCACCATACTTACTCCATCTGTATGCTGAGCAAATAAACTGAGAAGCTGGACTATATAAAGAAGAACGGGGCATCAGGAATGGAGGAAGACCTATTAACAACCTGTGATATGCAGATGTGCACAACCTTGCTTGCTGAAAGCGAAGAGGACCTGAAGCACTTACTGATGAAGATCAAGAATACAGCCTTCAGTATGGATTACACCTCAACAGAAAGAAAACAAAAATTATCACAACTGGACCTTTAAGCAACATCATGATAAATGGAGAAAAGATTGAAGTTGTCAAAGATTTCATTTAACTTGGATCCACAATCAACACCCATGGAAGAAGCAGTCAAGAAATCAAACGACTTATTACATTGGGCAAATCTGCTGCAAAGTACCTCTTTTGTTGAAAAGCAAAGATGTCACTTTGAAGACTAAGGTGCATCTGACCCAAGCTATGATACTGTCAGTCACCTCATAGGCATGTGAAAGCTGGACAATGAATAAGGAAAACTGATGAATTGATGCCTTTGAATTATGGTGTTGCGAAGAATATTGGATATACCATGGACTGCCAGAAGTACAGCCAGTGTGCTCCTTGGAAGCAAGGATGGTGAGACGTCGTATCACATACTTTGGACATGTTATCAGGAGGGACTAGTCCCTAGAGGACATCATGCTTGGTAAAATAGAGGGTGAGCAAAAAAGAGGAAGACCTCGACAAGATGGATTGACACAGTGGCTGCAACAATGGGCTCAAACATAGCAATGATTGTCAGGATGGTGCAGGACCCAGCAGCGTTTTATTCTGTTGTACATAGGGTCGCTATGAGTTGGAACTGACTTGATGGCACCTAACAACAATAACTATCATTTCCTAAGTGTGAAAAATATCTTCTACAAATGTGTGGCTTGTCTTTTATTATTACTTTATAATAATTTTTATGGTAACAATTGATACATACAAAGAATATGGTTAACACACATGCAAGTTATGAAGCACAATAAAATGAACACCTGTGAACCCTCCACAGAACCCAGAGAACAGAACAGTATCAGTATTTTCGAAGCTTTCTGTGTGCACTTGCTTATCTTTTTAGTTTCTTTATGGTGTTATTTTGATGAATTTGAATGTAGTCAAATAACCAATCTTTTCCTTTAAGCTTAGTTGTTGTCGTGTGCCATCGAGTTGATTCCGACTCAGTATGACCCTTATATGGCAGAGTAGAACTGCCCATAGGGTTTCCTAGGCTGTGATCTTTATGGGAGCAGATCACCAGGTCTTTTCTCCCACAGAGCAGCTGATGGGTTCAAACCGCCACCCTTTTGGTTAGCAGCCAAGCACTTAAGCACTGAGCCACTTTAGTAGTTTTTATTATTTGAGAAATCCCTCCTTACCCTGTGGTCATATTCTCCTATATTTTCTTCTAAAATTTCTAAAGTTCTGCCTTTCTAAGTTTTTAGTCCATTTGGAATTGTATTTTGTATATGGTGTGTGATAGAAATCTAATTTAATTTTCCCCCCAGCTCCATCTCATCTTTTAAAGATGAAACTATAGTTCTCTATTAATTATGAGATTTCTGTCCTTTGGTCATTTTATCCCCTCAGCCTGTTCCTGTTTCTCCAAATTGAACTTCATTTATGGCTCCTCTATTAAATCCTGTCAGCCAAGCTTTCTGACTTTCCTGGACTTGTCCTAAGTCTTTAGGGCTCTTTCCAGCCTTCAGACATCTTTTGTTAAAAAAGTCACAGGAATGGCTATGACAGCCACCCAACTCTTTCCATGTCTAAGCCTGAGAATGGCACCAACCTCAGCCTGCCTGCTCCATCTGCCACCACAATCAGTAAGTAATTCTGACTTGTCCAGCCACTCCCAGATTCTAGGGGTTCTCCTAGAAGTCATACTTGGTGGGGAAGACAGACAAGGCCATCCTGAAGGGTAAAAAAATCTAAAAGCCTAGTTCCAGGCATACTTCATGATATCTAAGTCTTTGCATGCAATATTCCATGTGTCTGGAATGCTGTCCTCCCCTCCCCACCTGTCTCTGTCCACATGGTAAACCTGTCATCCTACAAGGTCCAGCTCAAAAGTCATCATCTCTGATTTCAGACAAAGTAGAGACCACGAAGGTCCTTAAATACCAGGCTAAGGACTTGTCCTGAAGGGAGCTATTGAAGGTTTTGTTTTGTTATTTTTTTATTGTTGTAGTTTAAATGAAGTTTACATTTCAAGTTAGTCTCCCATACAAAAATTTATATAGTTATGTGACCCTAATTGCTCACCCCATACTGCGACAGCACACTCCTTTCCACCCCTGATTCCCCATGTCCATTCAACCAGCTCCTAACCCTCTCTGCCTTCCCATCTCACCTCCGGACAGAAGCTGCCCCTTTGGTCTCTTGTATCTACTTGAGCTAAGAGGCACACTCCTCACAAGTATCACTTTATGTCCCACAGTCCAGTCCAATCCCTGTCTGAAGAGTTGGCCTCGGAAACTTTTAGTTCTGGGCTGACAGAGAATCCAGCGGCCATGCTTTCCCGGGTTCCTCCAGTCTCAGTCAGACCATTAAGTCTGGAGTTATTGAAGGGTTTTAAGTGAGGGGATGGCATATTCATATTAACATCTTTGGTGGCTGATGTAGGATAAAGGTAGCAACTCAAGGGGACAGACTAGGGCCTCTCCCAGCCAGGTGAGGAGCATTAACTTAGGGACCCTGACTCCTGGGGTACACAAAATACCTTTCTTATCAAGGACTCCCGGTGTTGAAGCTCCCGGGTTGGGTCTGGGATCAAGCAGCCAACAAATGGCTTACGTCCAAATCTGTTCTTGGGCTATGGTGGCAGTCTTGGAGTTCTGCTTGGAGAACAGGAGGGAGGTAGGGGACAGGGGTTGTATCTCGAGCCATAGACTTTCCCAGCCCATACCCTGTCGCCCGGAGTCCCCCCCAGTTTCCTTCACACCCCATCCCTCCTCAAACCCCACCCCATCCTCGGCAACGAATCTTCCCGCCGGCCCCTCCTTCCCGTGAGCCCTCCGCTCCCCAGTGTCCTTCTAATTCCCGACCCCTTGTCCGAGCCCTCCAGCTGGCCAGGCTAAAGCCAGAGCCGAGCTCCCATTTTCTTCTTGCCCTGCAGGGCCTAACCCTGCTGCGACTTCTGATTTTCAGAAACCGTGGGCTCTAGTCTCGCCAGCTTCCCGAACGCCGCTTCGAGATCTCCCGGCACCACCTCCTCTGGGACACCTTCAGCCGCTCAGCGGCTTGTGTTGCCAAGGCAACAGTAAAGAGCAGTGGGGCTCAAACGCCTGTCGTAAGCCCGCGCCCCGGCAACGGATCAACAAAACTTCCACGCTAGACCGAAGGCCCCGCCCTTTGTTCCCACTCGCTACGGAAACCGGAAATCCCGGTGGATTGGACTCATTATCGCGAGGCTTGCCATCCACCCGGCTTGCACTGCGGTGTTTCCCGCGCGGGCTACCGAGTTGCAGGGCGTACGGCGCGGCCTCTCGTAACCGCTGCCGGCGCCTCCGCCGTCATGGGTTTCCTTAAACTGATCGAGATCGAGAACTTTAAGTCGTACAAGGGGCGACAGATCATCGGACCATTTCAGAGGTTCACAGCCATCATTGGACCTAATGGCTCTGGTGAGATAAACCTGGCTGCGGCCCCGCGCACGTCCCGGCCTGGACCCCCTATCAGGCGGCGACAGAGTAGTACAACCCAGCCCATGCCACTTGAAACGTCGCGAGCCCTAACGTGTTCTTTGCCCCTTCTGAAGGGGTTCGGCCTGAACCTGCTCTCCCTACTCGGGTGCTCTTAGTCGGACCTCTTCCCCAGGCGTCAGTTGTCCGTACTTTGTGCGATCCCCGCTCGGGTCCGACTGGTACGGGCCGAACTGTACGTTGCCCCGCCCACCACCCCCTCCCGCCAAAAGTGGCAGGTCCCGAGTTGGCCGCCAGCCGCCGGCCCCACCGGACGCTCTCGATCCGGCTTCCCTCGCCTTACTTGACCTTTCCGGAGGTCGTGGGATGGCTGGTATCCTTCCCTTGGCCTCTGGTCCCAAACGGTACACTTCTGCCTCAGCTCAGCGCCCCCTCCCTCCTCGTATTGGTAAGCACCAGTTCCCCCCCTTTTTTTTTTACTCTTCTCCCGAGGCGGCACTTTTGAATCTCGGACCCAGCGTTTGAGTCTCCAGGGTGCTTGGGGTCTCGATCTCCTCCCCACAACACACACCTCAGAGGTGAGGTGCCTCGAACTCGCCCCTTTCCTACCACTGACACCGTCAGAAGCCGGAATTCGCTCATCAAATGTTCATTGAATGCGTACTGTATATCAGGAGCTGTTCAAGGTGCTGTGGAAAGGGCGAGAATAGAATAAGCCAAGTCTATGCTTTCAGGGAACTTACAGTCCACAGGGGAAAGACAATAATAAAGAAGGAGAAAATAAGATAATTTTAGGTTGTGATAAGTGCTATGAAGGAAATAGAGCAAGTTGATGTAGTAGAGTAACTTGGGTGTGTCTTTAGAAAGGGTGGTCAGATAAGGCCTCTGTTCCGTATCTTAATTCCTCATCTCTAAATAATACACTATGGGTTCCTCCTACCTACCCCCAGAAGTGGTCCATTTGGAATTTTGCTGTGTTCCTCTACCTCAGAGATGTTCTAGCTGAATCACTTCCTAACCTGAGAGGCTGCCCTTGGCTGAAGTACTGTAATTCATACTTAATACCTTCCCTGGAGTCTTGCCTGGGTGTGGCTCTCTGCCTAGAGCAAGGTTTTTCAGCAGCGGCATTACTGACATTTTGGGCAGAATAATTGTGGGGATGTTCTTATACATTGAAGGATTTTTAGCAGCATCCCTGACTTCTACCTGCAAGATAACAGTGGCACCCCCACTCTCCAGGTGACAACTGAAAATGTTTTCAGACATTGCCAGATGTCCGCTGGGGGCCAAAACCACTCCCCCCTCCTCCTGAAACACTGGCCTGGCCTGGAGGGCTGATGCGTGGGGTTTCACCCCAGTTTCTTAGACTTTTAGTGGGGTGACCCCTGTGGAAAGAGCCAGGATGTACCTCTTGGCATTCAGTTCCCTCAGCATTGGTAGGTTTGTATACCCAGCTGTGCAGAAAAGGCCGTTATCCTTAATTCCTCCTTCCTCATTCTTCAAGGCCCATCTCCACGAGGCATTTTTTGATTCTCCTTGGAGAGTGAATTCCTCTTGCTCTCTGGCACACAGTAGTCACTTGGTACACATTAATATTTATTTTCTTTTGTCTTGTATTCATGGTATATGTTTTTGTATCTTTATCACTGGTCTATGAGTGTCCCAAAGAAGACAGTCCTTGAAACGTTTTAGCTTTGTAACCCTAGTGTCCATCTTATAACATGTTATGAAAATGTTTACAATATTGAATGATTGTGAGTAGAGAGGCCTTTGGTTGTGAGATGTTCCTGTCATCCCTGGAAAGCAATGGAGAAGCCCGAAGGTTGGAAATTGATGCCTAAATGACTCACTCCTGGTCTGTGTGATGTGCTGGTCCTGCTGTGATGAGGGAGACAGAGCTAAGAGTCCAGACCTTTGTTAAGATAGTACTGTCATTTATTGAGCACCTACTGTGTGTCAAGTACTTTATTTATTGGGATTTTTACATTTAAATTCTCACAGTGAGATACCATTGTTCCCATTTTATAGATGAGGAGACTGAGGCACAAAGAGGTGTAATAACTTGCCTGTGGTCCTCAGAGCCAGGATCGGAAGCCATGCCTGTCATACTTCAAAGTCTAGCTCCTTCCATTCCAACGGAGAACTATGTGCTAAGCTGTGTTTTAGATGCTTCACCTATTAGTCATGTTTTCTCATATTTTCCAGGTGAGAGAATGGAAGGTTAGAGATACTAAGCAATTTGCCCAGGGTCATACAGCTAAGATGTAGTGAAACTGAGATTAGGAATTGGTCTGTTGGACTTGAGCCCAAGCTCTTTTTTTTTTAAATAATATTTTATTGTGTTTCAGTGAAATTTTACATAGTAAATTAGAGTCCCATTTAACAATTTCTGCATAAATTGTTCTGTGACATTGGTTATATTTTTCACAATGTGTCAACATTCTCATTATTTCTGTTCTGGTTGTTCTGTTTCCAGAAATCTAGTATCCCTGCCCCCTTTTCATTTTTGCTTTAGAGTAAATGTTGACTGTTAGGTCTCATAAAGATGATTTTTTAAAGGAGCACAACATTCATGGATGATATTCTTTATTTCATGAGCCAATCTGTTCAGCTGAAAGGTAACCTCTGAGAGTAGTTTCAGGTCAAAGTTTAAAGGGTATCTCAGGGTGATAGTCTTGGGGGGTCCTCTAGTTTCAACTGGCCCAGTAAGTCTGGACTTTTTAAGAATATGAGTTCTGTTCTACATTTTTCTCCCTTTCTATCAGGACCCGTCTATTGTGTCCTTGATCAGAGCGGTTGGTAGTGGTAGCTGGGCACCATTTAGTTCTTTTGGTCTCAGGGTAGATGAGGCCGTGGTTCATGTAGACTCTTAGTCCTGTAGACTAGTTTCTTCTCTGAGCCTTTCGTTTCCTTCTTTCTCTTTTGCTCCAGATGAGTAGAGACCAATAGTTGTATCTTAGATGGCTGCTTGCAAGCTTTTAAAACTCTAGACACTACTCACCAAACTAGGATGTAGAACATAAACTTTATGAACTTCGTTATGCCAGTTGACCGAATTGTCCCACAACACTATGGTCCTACGCCTTCAAATCCAGTAAACCAATCCCATAAGGTGTTTGGTTATGTCTAAGAAAAAGTATCCGTAACTGTACCCCCATGTGTTTTTTTGTATACGTGAATATATATATACACACATACATGTATATATATATGTGCATGTACTTATGCATACACTTGTATATGCACACATATGTACACATACTTATCTATACATATATATACATACATACATGTATACGTAACCACACATAGTTTTTGGTTGTTGCAAAATTGTATATGTCATAACGTTTGCCAGAAATGTCCTTTATTCTTGTGTACTTCTTAGTGACATCATTTACCTTGGTCATGTTGTACACCCTTCACCCATGTTTAGTGTTACCTTTCCCATCACCAAAAATAACAAGTGTCTAGTGTCTAGAGAATGATTCCCCCTCCGTCCTCCACCCATCCCTGGTAAATAACCAATGAAAGTTGGTTTCTGTATATATACCTATTCTTGTCCTTTTATAAAAGTGAGATCATACAATATTTGCCCTTTTGTGATTGACTTATTTCACTCAGCAGAATGTCCTCCAGTTTCATCCATGTTATAATGTTTGGAGAACTCATTATTCTTTATGGCTGCATAATATTCCCTTGTATGTATGTACCACATTTTGTTGGGCACTTAGATTGTTTCCATCTTTTTGCTATTATGAATAGTGCTGCAATGAACATAGGTGTGCATATGTCTATTAGTGTGTCTTCTTTTAGATCTCTAGGATATATACCTAGAAGTGGGAGAGCCCAAGCTCTTTTTTTTATTTTGTTGTTGGTGAGAATATCCATAGTAAAACGTACACCAATTCAACAGTTTCTACATGTACAATTCAGTGACATTGATTACATTCTTTGAGTTGTGCAACCATTCTCACCCTCCTTTTCTGCATTGTTACTCTTCCATTAACATAAACTCACCACCCCCTAAGGTTCCAATCTAATATTTTAAGTTGCTGTTGTCATTTTGATCCCGTATACATAGTTCTTAAAAGAGCATAATGCTCAAGGCAGACATTTTTTACTAAACTATTTTTTGGTTTTAAGAAAACTTTAGGGGATATTTTTGGTTTAAGGTTTAAAAATTATCTCAGGGCAGTAGTTTCAGGGGCTCATCCAGTCCCCATGGCTCCAGAAAGTCTGGAGTCTATGAGAATTTGAAATTCTTTTCTTCATTTTCTCCCTTTTGATCAGGATTCCTCTATGGAATCTTTGATAAAAATATTAAGTAAAGGTAGCCAGGTACCATCCAGTTCTTCTGGTCTCTTGGCAAAGGCCTCATTAGCCACACATTCCATATCCTCCCCCTATTCCTGACTCTCCTCCTTCTTCTGTTGCTCCAGGCAAATAGAGACCAATTGTTGTGCCTTGGAAGCCCATTTGCAAGCTTTTAAGACCCCAGATGCTACACAAGGAGCTAGGAGGTAGAACAGAAGCACTAAACACATTATTAGGCCAGTTAACTGGGATGTCCTGTGAAACCATGACCCTAAACCTCCAAACCAAGGAACCAAATCCTATGAGGTTTTTGGTTGTACATAGGCAGCCTCAGCAGCTACTCTTTTTTTTTTTGTCATTGTTATAAATATATCTATCACAAAACTTTTGCCAGTTCAACTTTTTATAGGTGTACAACTTATTGGCAGCAATTACGATAATTGTGCAACCCTACCCTTATTGTGATTTCTCCATCACCGTTAGTTAATCCTCCCTTTTGCCCTCCGTCTTGCCCCTGGTAACTACTAACAAACTTTGGTCTGTATACATTTGTCTTCTTTTGTTTTTTTTTTAATGTATGTGAGGTCATACAATATTTGTCCTTTTGTGATTGACTTATTTCACTCAGCATAGTGTCTTCAAGCTCTATCCATATTGTTGCATGTATCAAGACTTCATTTCTTCTGCTGGCTGAGTAGTATTCCATTGTATGTATGTACTACCACATTTTGTTTATCCATTCATCTGTGATGGGCATTTAGGTTGTTTCTACCTTTTGGCGCCTTTTGGCTATTGTGAATAGTGCTACAGTGAACATTGGTGTACAAGTCTCTTTGATTTTCTGCTTTCAAGTCTTTTGGGAGAGCTCAAGCTCTTAATCACTGTCCTATATTGCTTCCATGGAAGGACCTGGGGTGCCATTTTTTTTAACATTCTTCATAATAATCTTTTTTAATTTTTTATTGTTATAGTTTAAGTGAAAGTTTACATTTCGAGTTAGTTTCTCATACAAAAGTTTATACATACATTGTTATGTGACCCTAATTGCTCTCCCTATACTGTGACAGCATACTCCTCCTTTCCACCCCTAATTTCCCATGTCAGTTCAACCAGCTCCTAACCCTCTCTGCCTTGTCATATCATCTCCGGACAGAAGTTGCCCATTTGGTCTCATGTATCTACTTGAGCTAAGAAGCACACTCTTCACGAGTATCATTTTATGGTCCGTGGTCCAGTCCAATCTTTGTCTGAAGAGTTGGCCTCGGGAATTGTTTTAGTTCTGGGTTGACAGAGAGTCCGGGGACCATGCTTTCTGGGGTTCTTCCAGTCTCAGTCAGACCATTAAGTCTGGTCTTTTTACTAGAATTTGAGTTCTACACCCCACCTTTTTCCTGCTCCATCATGGACTCTCTGTTGTGTTCCCTGTCAGGGAGGTCATTGGTGGTAGCCAGGCACTGTCTAGTTCTTCTGGTCTCAAGATGATGCAGTCTCTGGTTTATGTGGCCCCTTCTGTCTCTTGGGCTAGTACTTTTCCCTGTGTCTTTGGTGTTCTTCATTCTCCTTTACTCCAGGTGGTTGAGACCAATTGATGCATCTTAGATGGCCGCTTGCTAGCTTTTAAGACCCCAGATGCCACTTACCAAAGGAGGATGCAGGACATTTTCTTAATAAACTTTTTTATGCCAGTTGACCTAGATGTCCCCTGAAAGCATGGTCCCCAGACCCCCGCCCCTGCTACTCTGTCCTTCGAAGTGTTTGATTGTATTCAGGAAACTTCTTAGCTTTGGTTTAGTCCAGTTGTGCTGACTTCCCTGGGGTGCCATTTTTATGGCTGGGTACAAAGGCATTGGGAGCTCTGTTAGCACAGTGGTTAAGTGCTCACTGCTAACCAGAAAGTCAGCTGTTCGAACCCACCAGTGGGAGGATGATGAGGCAGTCTGTTTGTGTATAGATTACAGCCTTGGAAACCCTATGGGTCAGTTCTGCTCTGTCCTGTAGGGTCACTTTGAGTCAGAATCAATTTGATGGCAATGGGTTTGGTTTGGTTATAAAAGCATTGGAAATCAGGTCCTCAGTTCAGATATTGTAACATGTTTGAGGAGTGTCATGAGGTAGAATTTACAGAGATTAAACTGTCCCCTCCCCCATCTAAACTTTTTTTTAAAATGTGGGTTTTTTTCCTTATTATAATAAAAAGGAAGTAAAAACTAACTCCACTTCTGAAAAGATAAGAAACAAAGCCAACCAACCAAACCTGTTGCCATCGCGTCAGCTCCAACTCATGGCAACCCCATGTGTTATAGAGTAGAACTGTGCTCCATAGGGGTTTCTTGGCTGTAATGCTAACCGAAAGGTTGGTGGTTTGAATCTACCCAGTGGCTCCATGGGAGAAAGACCTGCTGATCTGCTCCTGTAAAGATTACAACTAAGAAAACCCTATGCGACAGTTCTACTCGGTCACATGGGTCACTTGAGGCTCAGTCAACTCGACAGCACCCAACAACAACAATCTTTACTGAAACAGATTGCCAGGCCTTTCTTCTGCAGCAGCACTGGGTGGGTTTGAACTGACAGCCAGTCTTAATGTTAAAAACCATGTTTATTTATGTGAATAGCTAATACATGCATATGGTATAAAATTTTTTAAATATCAAAGGGGATATACAGTAAAAAGCAGTGACTCCCTCCCTCTGTTCCCTGACTTCAGCTACCTAGTTTCCTTCCTGGAAGCAACCAGTGTCATACTGTTTGTGTTTTCTTATGCCTTACCCTCTCCCCAAGTTTTGATAATCAATAATTCTCGAACATACATGTCTATTTTGCTTAATCATTAGAAAGTAAATTGTAGCCCTAGTGACATTTCACCCCTAAGTGCTTCAGCATTCATTTCCTAAAATCATCATTCCCCTGTATTGCCAATATACCATTTTCACCCTTAAGAAAATTAATGTCCTCATGTCATTCACTATCTAATTTATAGTCAGGGTTCCCTAATTGCTCCCCAAAATATCTTTTTTATTTTGGAACCAGGATTCAGTCAAAGTTCATGCACTGCATTTGGTTTTGTCTCAGTAATCTCTTGTGTTCTGGAATGGTTCTCTCAACCTTTTTTTTAAGACGTTGTCTTATAGAACATCTCACATTCTGTGTTTGTCTGAATGTTTCCTCATGTTGTTATTCATCATGTTCCTCTATCTGCTGTACTTCTGGAAACTGAAGGGTAGGTCTGAAGTCTTGTTTAGATTCAGGTTAAACAAATTTGGCAAGATACTTCATAGATGATGCTCTGTATGCCATACTGCATCACAATATGCCTTTTTTGAAAACATGGTTGAGATCAAGCTGTATATTGAATTTTGTATCTTGCTTGTTTCACCTATTGTAGGCATTTTCCCATGTTATTGAAGGTTGTAGAACACTCCATTCTGTGAATATACCATTACCTTAGACAGGCTTCTAGTTTCTGGCTGCTTTAAGTACTAACTACAAGGGAACTGTTTTTTTGTTTGTTGAATATTAATTATGTTCATCATGTTGTTCAACCATTACCACTGTCTATTTCAAAATTTCTCCAACACCCTTAACAGGTGATTTTTCATCCTTTCCTTCTCCTGCCCACCAAGGGGACTGTTTGTCTAAGTCTTTGACACAGGGCTTTGGCTGGGCCCAGTTTTTATGGGGGAAAAGGAATAGTCTCGCTTCCCATTAATCTGAGCACTGAGTGATTGGAGACATTCCTGTTCCTCTAAATGTCTCCTTTCCTCCTTTTCCTCTCACCTTCCCTTCTTCCTGATTTACCCTCCTCTGCTTTGTCCCCTCCTCCCTTAGGTAAGTCAAATCTCATGGATGCGATCAGTTTTGTGCTGGGTGAAAAGACCAGCAACCTTCGGGTAAAGACCCTGCGGGACCTGATCCACGGAGCTCCTGTAGGCAAGCCAGCTGCTAACCGGGCTTTTGTCAGCATGGTATACTCTGAGGAAGGTGCTGAGGACCGCACCTTTGCCCGCGTCATTGTTGGTGGGTGAGGCTAGCCAGGGAGGTGGCCGGCTAGTTGACTGGGGTAGGAGGGAGGCCTGACCCTTAGCTGGCTCATGCATTGTTTTGCAGGGGGTTCTTCTGAGTACAAGATCAACAACAAAGTGGTCCAGCTACATGAGTACAGTGAGGAATTAGAGAAGTTGGGCATTCTCATCAAAGCTCGTAACTTCCTCGTCTTCCAGGTGGGCATTTTTTAAAAAATATTTTATTTTGTTGTCTTTGTTGAGAATATGCACAGCAAAATATACACCAATTCAAGTGTCTGCATGTACATTTCAGTGACATTGATTGCATTCTTCAAGTTGTGCAACCATCCTCGATCTCCTCTGAGTTGTTCCTCCCCTATTAACATAAATTCACTGCCTTCTAAGGTTCTGATCTAATCTTTTGAGTTGCTGCTGTCAATTTGATCCCATATACTGTAGACAGATCTTAAAAGAGCATAATGCTTAAGGCAGACATTCTTTGCTAGTTAAGCTAAACTATTGTTTTTAAGAAGACTTAAGGGTATATTTTTGGTTTAAGGTTTAAAGATTATCTCAGGGCAATAGTTTTGGGGCCAGGTGGGCATTTTTAACAATTATTGGATATCTGCTTTTTGCCAGCCCTTGTCCTGCCCCCACTGGGTCTATTCCATCTCAGGCTTTATCATTTTTCCCTTGAGCTAATGTACCAGCTTCCTCACTGGGCTCCTGATTCCAGTCTGGCCCCTTCAAGTTCATGCCCTAGGTCAGGTTCATCTTATGAAGACACAAATCTGTCTCTCCCTTTTCTCCTTAAAGCATTTCATCATGGTTCTCAAACTGCGGTCTCCGGACCAGCAGCATCATTATCGCCTGGGAACATATTAGAAATGCACATTCTCAGGTTCCATCCTAGACTACAGACTCATAGACTTTGGGATGGGGCACAACGATTTATGGTTTTTTTGTTTTTTAATAATTTTTATGGTGTTTTTGGCAAAGGTTTACACAGTAGTTTAGGCTCCCATTCAACAATTTCTACAGAAATTGTTCAGTAACATTGGTTATATTCTTAACAATGCATGAACATTCTCATTTTCGTTCTGGTTGTTCCATTTCCATTAGTCTAATTTCCCTGCCCCCTTACAGTCTCATCTTTGTTTTAAAGTAATTGTTGATCGTTTGGTCTCATATAGGTGATTTTTTTAAAGGAGCACAGCAATTTGTGTTTTACCAAGCTCTTGAAGTTATTATGCTGCATGCTAAAGTTTGAGAACTATTGCTTAGGATAAAATCCAAACTTCCAAGCCTGTCATTCAGGAAACACCATTATTTGGTTCTTGGCCACCTCATTAGCCTCATCTGCCAATACTCTTCTCCAACTCTCCAGCCTGATTAAACCACTCTATGGTTCCTCAAATTTACCTGCTTTCTTTGGCCTCCAGGCCTTTGTATAGTGTTTCCTCTACGTGGAATAACCTTTTCTCTCTTACTGATTTGGTTAGTTCTTCCCCAGCTTCCAAAATTCAACTTAGCCATTACCTTTTGGAAGCCTTCCCAGATTGATATCTCTACCCTCTACCCACAAGCTTCATTTAGTCCCTTTTTCTGTACTGCCCCATAAGGTTTCCAAGGAGTGGCTGGTGGATTTGAATTGCTGACGTTTTGGTTAGCAGTCGAGCTCTTAATCACTACACTGCCAAGTATATCTATATGTGTATATACATGTATGTACGTGTGTGTATATGTATCTATATACATATATGCATATACATAACATACTATGTTGTTTTTGTTTCTTTTTTGCTCCCTGTGCTCCTCAAAAGGCAGGGAGTGTGTCCTCAAAGTCTAGTGTGAAATGTGGCACTCAGTGAGGAGGTCAGCAAACTTTTTCTGAGTGAATGAGTGCGGGTGGGTAGGGGGAACTGGAATGGCTGCGGTCTTAAGTGGGGGGAGTGTTTTGATCTTTACTAGGGTGCTGTGGAATCTATTGCCATGAAGAACCCCAAAGAGAGAACAGCTCTATTTGAAGAGATCAGTCGCTCTGGGGAGCTGGCCCAAGAGTATGACAAGCGAAAGAAGGAAATGGTGAAGGCTGAAGAGGATACTCAGTTTAATTACCATCGCAAGAAAAACATTGCAGCTGAACGTAAGGAGGCCAAGCAGGAGAAGGAAGAGGTAGGTGGCCAGGCTACCTGTTGGCTCTGATGGGCCAGGATGGAACCAGTGGCTTACTGATGCACCCTGCCCCTATTTGCACAGGCTGACCGCTACCAGCGCCTAAAGGATGAGGTGGTGCGAGCTCAGGTACAGCTGCAGCTTTTTAAGCTTTACCACAATGAAGTGGAAATTGAGAAGCTCAACAAGGAATTGGCCTCTAAGAACAAGGAAATCGAGAAGGACAAGAAACGTATGGACAAGGTAGAGGATGAGCTGAAGGAGAAGAAGAAGGAGCTGGGCAAAATGATGCGGGAGCAGCAGCAGATTGAGAAGGAGATCAAGTAAGAGGCAGGCCTGGGTCTGTGATTTGTGGGAAACCAAGAGGCTATGCTCTTCCTTAGGGTTCCTTTGAGTCTTGAGTCCAATGCCCATACTAGTTTCTCTGTCTTCCCCTTGACTTGCTTTGGCCATAATGAGGCACATTTCTTAACTTGCATTTTTGTCAAATAGAGTATTTAAGTACTCAGACTCTGGGTATGATAGGTACTCAGAAGAGGGAGAACTTGAAAGAGGTGGTGGCCTTGCCAAATGAGAGCCAGAGTTGGGAGACCCAGCCACTGGAGTAACCAGGAAGGCTTTTCTAGAAGAGGAAAACTAGAACTAAAAGTTTAAAGGACAGGGATTTGAAAAGATTAGATCAGAAACAGGGACAACTAAGTTAACACAGGGTATGGGAGTTGTTAATGAGGGGCCTGGCCTGGCAAGGGTTGAGGTGGGGGGATAGTAGCTTTACGTTGTGGAGTGGCTTGAATGCCAGACTGAAGCTATAGCTTCTAGGAAGTAGTCAGACTACCCCTTAGTGAGCATCTGTGGGACATCAGGCCCTTGTTGTTTTAGGCAATTCTTTGAGGCTGGCTGGAGAGTAAAAAAATATTTGAGTAAACATCCTGGGAACCCTCCCTTCTACCAAAGTGTTGACTGGTTTTCTCCTCTGGCAAAAGGGAGAAGGACTCAGAGCTGAACCAGAAGCGGCCTCAGTACATCAAAGCGAAGGAGAATACCTCTCACAAAATCAAGAAGCTGGAAGCAGCCAAAAAGTCCCTGCAGAATGCTCAGAAGCATTACAAGAAGCGTAAAGGTGACATGGATGAGCTGGAGAAGGAGATGCTATCAGTAGAGAAAGCCCGACAGGAGTTTGAGGAACGAATGGAAGAGGAGAGCCAGAGTCAGGGCAGAGATTTGACCCTGGAGGAGAACCAGGTAAGCCCTGAGAAGGGTTAGGGGGAGGAGATTGCTGGGCTGACATGGACTGACTTGGTCATCCCTGTCTTCCTTCCCTGTCCCCAACAGGTGAAGAAGTACCACCGGTTGAAAGAAGAAGCCAGCAAGAGAGCAGCTACCCTGGCCCAGGAGCTAGAGAAGTTCAATCGAGACCAGAAAGCTGACCAGGACCGGCTAGATCTGGAAGAGCGGAAGAAAGTTGAGACAGAGGTGGGCATGAGTTACAAAATTAGGGATAATGTTCCAGAGAAAAGGATTTCTCAGTGATAGAAATAACAATAATGACAATAACTAACATGTATCGAGCATTTACTTTGTGCCAGGTACTGTTCTTTATATATATTCACTCATTTAATTCCTCGTTTATGACTGCTTTCATGGGATAGGGCACTGTTATCCCCATTTTCCAAATGAGGAAACTGTGACACAGAGGTAAAGTAATTTATCCAAGATCACACAATAATTAGGTGGTGGAATCAGGATATGAACCTGGGCAGTTTAACTCTTAGAGTCCATGCTCTTATCAAGTATACTTACTGCCTCGCTAATATCAATAATAGTAATAGTAATTATAATGTGAAGTTGTTATAGTGTCCTAAGAGCCTACAATCTTCTATACATTCTGCTAAGCACTTCTTTTAAATTTTTAAAAGAATGTGAGGTATCTATTCATATTAATAGCTATCCTGTAATGAGCACATAATGTGTACCTATGAAGTAGAGATTACCCACATTTTTCAGATGAGACAACAAAGGTGCAGAAAGGCCTATAAAGCTTTCTTTGCCTTGGTTTGAGCCTCCGTGATTGGCAAGGAAGATAGATAGCCTGGGCTGGATAGAATACTTGTGAGTGGTTCTGGAACCCTGAGAGGCCCCCATCATTTAGCAGATCCATACAGACCACCGTCTATCTACTTTTTTTTTTTCTAATTCTTTTTTATTGTACTTTAGGTGATGGTTTACAGAACAAATAGTTTCTCATTAAACAGTCAGTACACATACTGTTCTATGACATTGGTTAACAATCCCACAATATGTCAACACTGTCCCTTCTTGACCTTAGAGGACCTTTTTTTTTTTTGGAGAAAATATACATAGCCAAAGGTACACCATTTCAAAAATTTCTACATGTACAATTCAGTGACATCAATTACGTTCTTCCAGTTGTGCTGCTATTCTCACTTTAGATGAAGGTTTACAGAACAAAATAGTTTCTCACACAGTTAGTACACATGTTGCTCTATGACAATGGTTAACAACCTCACTGCATGTCAACACTGTCCTTACTCAACCTTGAGTTCCCTATCACCAGCTTTCCTGTCCCCTTCTGCCTTCTAGTCCTTGTCCCTGGACTGCTGTGCCTCATTGGTCCCGTTTTGTTTTATGGGGCTGTCCAATCCCCAGCTGAACGGTGAACCTCGGAAGTGACTTCACCACTGAGCTAAAAGGGTGTCTGGGGGCCATACTCTCGGGGTTTCTCCAGTCTCTTTCAGACCAGTAAATCTGGTCTTTTTTTTTGTGTTAGAATTTTGTTCTACATCCTTCTCCAGCTCTGTCCAGAACCCTCTGTTGTGATCCCAGTCAGAGCAGTCAGTGGTGGTAGCTGGGCACCATCTAGCTGTACTGGACTCAGTCTTGTGGAGGCCTTGGTATCTGTGGTCCATTAGTCCTTTGGACTAATCTTTTCCTTGTATCCTGTTCTTCTCTAATCACTTGCTCCCGAAGGGGTGAGACCAGGGGAGTATCATAGATGGTGCGTGTCTGCTTTTTAGTAGGCCCCCTGCATTAGTGAAAGATTTTCCTGGACTGTTGGGCCCTTGGATGAATGGGCATGTAGTAAGCTATGGTCTTGGAGTTAACTTGCTAAGTCTTTGGCAATGGAGTATATTTTTCTCTTTCTTAGGCCAAGATCAAGCAAAAGTTGCGGGAGATTGAAGAGAATCAGAAGCGGATTGAGAAACTGGAGGAATACATTACCACTAGCAAGTATGTGGCTCTGCCACCTTCCCTTCTCCTTTACTTCCAAGCTTATTCTTGTGACCCTGCCTGTCCTGCCCCTTCCCAGGCAGGACCCCTAGAGTCACTCTCAGGCAGGAATATTTTCTAACCAGCCCAGGTAACCTCTGTTACCTCCCTTTGTAGGCAGTCCCTAGAGGAGCAAAAGAAGCTAGAGGGGGAGCTGACAGAGGAGGTGGAAATGGCCAAGCGGCGTATTGATGAGATCAATAAGGAGTTGAACCAGGTGATGGAGCAGCTGGGGGATGCCCGCATCGACCGCCAGGAGAGCAGCCGCCAGCAGCGAAAGGCAGAGATCATGGAAAGTATCAAGCGCCTTTATCCTGGCTCTGTGGTAAGAGTGGAAAGGGAACTCATTTCCTGAGCACCTATTCTTACACTGACTGTCATATAATTTTCCCAGCAGCCCTGTGAGGGCAGAGGTTCTAACCCCTTTTTTACAGCTGAGAAAATTGAGGCTGGGAGAGATTAAATGACTTACCAAAGCAGCACAGTTTATAAAGGGAAGGGCTACATTGCAAACCCAACTTGTTCAGATTCTGAAGCTTATGTTCTTTTCATCATACCGGTTGTGTCTTCCTTAAGGGTTTGTCTTGCTGTGTGTACTCCTCCATGGGAGGTGGGGAAGCTGAGAAGACTTTGGAAAGGGGAGGGGCTACAGGGCCAGGATTATTCTCCCAGGAAGTAGGTTTGGGGCCTTCATATTCAGAAAGTTCCGTACATGCAGTCTTCTGCTGAGCTCTGTTGGCATGTACCAGCCAGCCCATTTTTAGCCTTTTTTTTTTTTAAGTAGCTTAAGCAACAAGCATTTATTATCTTACACAGTTTCTGAGGGTCAGAAATCCGGAACTGACTTAGCTGTTTGGTTCTGGCTCAGAGTTTCTCATGAGATTGCAGTCATGTCAAAATTTGACTAGGGCTAGAGGATTATTTATTTCATTTCACTTAATAATAATAAATATTATTTTCTTTAATCCTTTTAGCAGTCCTATGAGGAAGTTATTATTTGTGGTAGCCAGCCTTCAAGATGGCTCACAGTGATCCCCACCTCCTGTTATCTACACCCTTGTGTAGTCCCCTCCCACTCTATTGCTATAATCCCATCCTTGGATTCAACTCAGCTTGGTTCCACAAATATTTCCTGATCTCTCTTCTAAGTTAGGCTCTGTACTACATAGGTAAAAAGAACTCATTGCCATCAAGTCGATTCTGACTCATAGCAGCCCTTAGGGCAGAGTAGAACTGCCCCATAGGGTTTCTAAGGAGCAGCTGGTGGATTCGAACTGCCAACCTTTTGGTTAGCAGCTGAGCGCTTAATCACTGTGCCACCAGGACTCTGCTATGTAGGTAGGTTAAGATGCATTAGTCTTGATCCCTGTCATTGAAGACCTTTCCCTTTATCTGATAGACCTTGGAGAACCATTGTTGGTTTGGGGGGAGTGAAATGGTAAAAGAGATTTATTTTGCTAAGTTCTTGTGAGAATTTGAGATAATGTATATAAGATATCTAGTCTAAAGATGTGAATTTATTAAAAATCAAAGGTTGGAAAAAAATATATCAAGCTAACAACTACCAAAAAAGAGCAGGAGTGGCAATTCTAATCTCAGATAAAATAGACTTTAAAACAAAATCT